TTGGACAGAATATTATATATGTTGCAATGTTTAAAAAAATACGAACGGCACCTTCCACTCCCTTCATAGACGAGTTCAATTCGCCTCTCGCACCATGCCAGATTTCGCAGTGTCTTCCGCGGAAGGAAGGAGTTCGATTTTAAATCGGTTATGTTAGAAAAGATAAACGTATTGTTATGGTTAGATGAATGTTAGGCAGAATTCGGTCTCCAAATGATATTTAGAGACTATCAATTCTGCCTAACATTCATCTAATTTCCCAACACAGTACGTTTATCTCCTAATTCACTCACTGGGTCGACCCATGAGTAATGCATTAAACTACTTGACATGTGTGTTGTAAACTTGAATAGAAGTCGTGTCTAGGAAATCAGTTTGGGTATTTGTCACAGATTTGTTTGTCAGCCACCACTGTAACAATGAATCTAGCACATGATTGTCATCGCCACCGATGAGACAATTTCGTCGAATTGTATTTGCAATAAAGCTGTCATGACAACCATATTGAAAACTCTATGTATACCCTCAAGTGAAGCATTCGCGTTCAAATTGTATTGGGGTTTGCCCTATGTGTAGCTGGTAGCTGAACTCAACACATGTGCTCCGTTTGACAATTGTCTTGGGGCTTTTTACACACATGCTCATTATGGGTAATGTGAATGATGAGACGTAAACCTTTAAACTAGGTAGCTCCGCTCCGCACAAACTAAACAGGATATCTGTCTTCTATCTCACTTGACACTCCAGACCCTGCTGGACTTAGAATGAGCTGTAAGATCAAAGAGCGACTGTTTTGATCGCATCGGGTCTGGGTCGTGGATTTTGTCTGATATCCTCAAACAAGAAGAGTTCCTCAAACGTCGTAATGGTCCCTCGTCATCGTAAACGAGAATATTATCAAATTACAGTTCCCTGGAGTGTTCCTGATAACGTGCAGGCGCCTAAACGAATCTGTTATTTTTTAACCATTCCAGCCGAACATAATCACTGTAATCATCCAGCTATGTATTGGAATGTGGTTACAATAATCGATTAGTTAAAACAGGACGTCTGCCTTTGGACTCGATCTTTGGATAATATGAAAAAGGTTAATCACCATTATCAGTTTTGTGAAAACAAAACATATTCTCACTGAGTAAATAAGAAGTCCGAGTTGGTTGACAAGATGATTACATCACGAATTCCCACTTTACACAGTCTAAACCACAACATATAATCTTTAAAGTGAATGTTTCTGATTTCAGCGTTAAACAACAACGTACCACTTTAGAATATTGTTTCATCATATTCTACAAGCTGCCAGAACTCAGCACCATGTCGGATATAGTAACAGGGGGATATAGGTATACACTACCTGGAGGAACCTCAGTAACAACATCTTACGATAAGCATGAGATAAGCATAAACATATATATATATATATACCCAAGGACACGGATATCTTGTGATTTGTGACGCTAAATACATATATATCATACTGAACTGAACTCTACTGAACATCATTGAAAACGCACCACTTATAAAAGTTCAGATTATTAAAAGCACGTGTAAGGAATTGATATTTTTTAGTGGATAATAACAGATGGACGACTGACAAAAACAACAACACAGAAAAGACGCTCATTCATTGAAATGTTCCACAGTGAGAAAGGATCAAACACACATGGGGTCAAATCGAAAAGTCAATATCGTGTGTGACCGCCATTTGCATTGACACATGCAGTTCAACGTTTCCTCATTGAGTCAATAAGCGCCCGAATAGAGTTCTTGAGGATGGCTTTCCACTTCTGCGGTAGTGCAGCCTCAAGTTCCCGGATGTTTTGCATCTATTGTCACCGCAAAAGAGTTTGACCAATTTCGTCCCACAAGTGCTCCATGGGGGATACATCTGGCGACTGTGCTGGCCAATGAATGTGTTGCTGGGCCAGATACTGCATGGAAAGTCTTGTTGTGTGTGCCCGTGCGTTGTCCTGTTGAAACGTATGGACATGTTGGTGGTGATTAAAGACAGATCTGCTCACGGTAATATAGGGCATTAACTCTCCCTTGACAGACATGAAGGCAGTCCTGTGACTGTAATTTATTTCATCCCTGACCATGACACTCCCACCACCCAAAGGTCTGTCTGAACCACACACTCATCGGCATAACGTTCACCACGTCTCCGCCAAACACATAATCGGCCGTCAGCATTACGTAGATGAGGACGTGACTCGTCAGTGACTACCACACCGTGCCATTGTTGTAACCTTTACTGAAAATGCCTGCTAGCCCATTGTATGAGACGAGAACATTTAATTGTTATTCATAGTAAATTATGGTAAATTATAAAAATCTGTCATCGAAGGACATGTACAGTAAAACCGACTAGAATATCACAATATATAGAAATAAAACTAGCATATATCTCTAAAATAGGATTTCAGATTAGGACAATACAATATAAAAAAGCTGAGGATCGCCAGCAACTGAAGGTAGACCACCACTCTAGGGGCCATGGGGACTTACAGTACTTTGCTACCTGCTTGGACCCTAGCTGGATATTTGTTATAGTCATTGCACGAGGGGACTTAACAGTCAAAATAATAAGGTCACTTATACAGCGCTGAGCTCCACGCCGCAGGGACATGATGCAAGCACATACTGCATAATGGACAATATTTCCCCAGTTAACCCAAGCTGCCTAGAAGGCGCTAGAAGGTTAATGTGACTTATCCCAATGGGTATCCATATTCTGCTGCCTGAACAGAGGCAATTTACACTCACTTGTCTAAGGTGAGACCATATGTGTCATATGTTCTTCGTTGTGGGGCTGGACAAAAGTCCTAGAAACTCTCAGGAATCAATCTGCCAAACACGGTCACCCATCTAAGAACTCTCCGTGACTAACGTTGCTTAACTTCAACTGTTTTGTAACCTGGGCTCTATGCACACGACCACACACAACCTCAGACTTATGTATATGACTCAGACTTATGTTATGACTGGAAGTTTAACTTAATAACTCAGATTGTTAGTGGCTGTACCTTCAAGGTGGGTCCCAAAACTTTCAAAGTACAATTAAACTTACCAACTTTTTAAAACGTAGTATTTTTGTGATTTAAATTTTGGCTAAGTATTCCTACCATTGCCAGCGGCTGATGGGATGGTGTAAATACAACTAGGGTCCATGCAGGTAGCGAAGGTACTGTAGGCCCCATGGTTCCTAGAGTGGTGATCTAGCCTTATTTTATATTGTATTGTCCTAATTTGAAATCCTATTTTAGAGATATACGCTAGTTTTATTTCCTATTACTGTGATATACTAGTTGGTTTTACTCTCCTTCGTCGACAGGTTTTTAAAATGTGCGCATTTGTCATGAATGTATAACTGTCTTAAGTCACGATATGGCTTGAAATACTGCCGCCGTGACTATAAACTTTAACTCACTCACTCACTCAGACTTATGTTAGTTTACTCCCGTAATTTGCTATACAGTTTCATAGATGTAGTATAACAAGGGCGTTGCCCACCTTGCAATTTCGATCCGGCAAACAAAGTTGCCTTATTCTGTAATCACTGATGTTGCTTTGTCTTTAATGCGCAGCATGAGTCTATCGAATGATGACGCAAACAACGTTTAAGCCTTCCAAACCGGAGAGGGGTTCCTTGATCAATACCAATCACACACCCAATGAGTCAGTTTGCAAGTTGAGCAGAAAATGGCTATCAGTTCAAATACTGACAGCCAGCCACAAGCTATAACTGGTTGAAGAGTAACCAACATAAATCAATACTCAAAAGGTCGGGGAGTATTACTTTCTCCAACTACTTTTAATATATGAACATAATCATCATGATTATTTCGACTTTGGTTGAAGTTATGCACCTTTTTCTTATTTGAGTAATTTTATCAGAGGAGAAGATCCAAAACGACGTATTCAGACATCGTTGCACTGAATTATTGCTCCACAAACAGGCCTTGCAAATTGTGTAGCAAAATGCATTCGATGGCCTATCCAGCCAATTTGTGCTTGCAAAAAACTCCAACGTGTGCCATTGCATGCGAATAGGAATCACAGCTGTCCCATAATTCAGTTAATACAAGACTTGCTCAAATGAACAATATTGAAATGGAGAAAAACCAAAAGAAACATTAATGCAATTTGTAGAATTTCCTAAAATCTAGGACAATTTTGCTTGAGCAGGCCCGTGACTCAGAGAAATTTCATTATCATATGTTTGCACTGTGTTGTGTTAATCTAAAACTAAATCGATGCTCTTGATGTCAATCACTGGATTGTGTTGTCCAGACTCAATTATTTACAGACCGCATTCATGTAGCTGGAAAATTTCTGAGTGCGGTTATAAACAACAAACACACAAATAAACACAAATCTAATCGACCAGAGTGAGTCTATCACGACGACGTTCAAACGCTGAGTGATTATAAAAAATATCAATACATAAAAGTAAGTTTTTAGGGCAAGGAATAAGATGACATGTGTCTGCTAAGTCAACCACCCTGACCACCCGATACCTTTAGTCGCCTCTTACGACAAGCGTGGATCTTCACGGGCTGGTTGAATAGAAGCAGGCACAGTTTATGCTTTTGTATTGTCTCTGTTGCAACCGTATATGACAACGAAAACATATCATGAGCTGGAATTGAAGTCATTGCAAACTAGTGTGAAGGGTTGCCATGAGACTCTTACGTATCTGCAATATCCACTATAAGATAAACATACTGACAAATATTCATTTAATTAGTAAAGTTGGCAGTGTGAAAATGTTCGAAATTTCCTGTTTAAACTCCACTGTAGGGCTTCAGCATTGAGGCGATTTAAGACTTGTCCTTCGCAAAATCATGGTGGGAGGGATTGAAGGAATATCCTAATGTCCCATATGAGGAATATTGAGTGTGAAGGGAAACAACAAAACATGCCAACAACTAAGTAGTCTACCGTGATGATTGTAGACAGTTTTGTATTAATCCAATAGAGCGTGAAGATTTCAAGAAATGACAAAGACGTTTGGGGTCAATTCTTGCACTGACGGGCAGCCAGTGGAGTTCTTTGGCCACAGGGTGAATTCTGTGAGGCTTTGGAGTGAGTTAGTGAGTTTAGTTTTACGCCGTTTTCCAGCAATATCATGGCGGGGACATTAGAAATGGGCTTTGGAAGGTCTAGTGATGTTACATTTTGCTGTACGTTGGTTGTGTTTTAATTGGTATCATTCTGACTGGTATTAGATAAAGGAATGGGCAACGGCAGGTGCTGCGTCAGTCGTGATCACATTCCGGATTCTGCCAATGTCACGAAGATGGTATTGGTATGTACTACGAAGTTGACAGACTCCGTGCTTAACTGGACATCAAATGGACTCCTGGTATTCAAATTGGGCTGTCAATTAAATCCCTGCCCAAGCGATAAGTGAACGGGAACTGTAACAGAAAATAATGCTTAATTTACTATGCAGGAGTAATTATTATGAACCTGAAACATCTTACGTATTGACTGTAACAAACATGCACATTCAATTATGTTATTATCGTACATCATGTTATACACTGTAGTATAAAGGTACACTACATGAATATTGATAATTGAATTACGTGACAATGAAAACGTTTACAAAGAGTGATATGTGGATATCGTACTGAAGAACCTGCTGTGTGAAAATGATCATATTTATTTCAAGGAATGTGGAAATATTTGCAACTTTCTATAGGATTTCTGATAAATATTTTTACAATATTTGTCTTGACCCATTCAACAGCCAAGCCAGTCCAAGCTATGTAACAATGGGAACCAATCAGCACCTCACCTACAGCCGGGACTACTTATTGTCCCTCAATCAACCCAGGAGCCAAAGCCACAGCACAAGTTTGGATGTAACACAATCACTGATTGAACCAGATCTCTGGACATCATTATGTAATCATGGGATTTCTACCAGGAAGAAAACTGTGAGAGGATCAAGAGGGGTCAGGCAGGAAAGTAGTAAGGAAAATCAAAATTATAAGTTTGTGGTGTATGTTTTGACAATTTAATCAAGGTTCACCCTCTTACTCCATCATCACATATCAAGGTGAATTTATGGAATGCTCAGTCATGCCGAAATAAGACACTTGACATTTATGACTTGATTGTTGAGGATAACCTCGACATTTTGATTTTCACAGAGTCCTGGCTGCATCCGACTGGGGATGAGGCCAAGATAGCTGAGATGACCCCGCCCTCACACTGTCTCGTCCACTGCCCCAGACACGGCACTACAGGCGGCGGAGTGGCCATCATACACAGATCATCTCTTGCTCTACATGTCAACAAAAACAGTATGTCTCACAAGTCTTTTGGAAAGCTGGATGTCCTTGTCACATCTGGCCAGTCGACTGTAAGGTTGGTGTGCATATATCGACCCCCACCTTCAGCTCGCAACAAGCTTACTGATGACAATTTCATCAACGAAATTGGTGGTCTATTTTGCTCTCATGATAAAGACAACATAGTGTATTTAGGGGACTTTAACATTCACTTCAACTCACCACAAAAGCCCAATGTTAAGAGAATGCTCGATCTTCTGCACTCCCATTCTCTTAAACAGATTGTCAGTGAGCCTACCCACAAATCTGGGAACATTTTGGACTGGATTATTTCCTCACCTAGCTGCGGTATCATCAAGAATATCCTTGTTCAGGATAGACAGATGTCAGACCACTCTGTGGTTGCTCTTAAGTTGTCTCTGATGAAATCACCAGTTCAACCAACAATCATCAAGTGTAGGAATCTGAAAGATATTGACGCTGAGGATCTAAAAGATTCTGACCTGGTATCTTCACCCCCGTCGTCTGTTGGTGATCATGTGACATTGTACACAATACCTTATACCTCACTCCTGGATAAACATGCTCCGTCGGTGGAGAAGAAAAGACATCTACGTCCAAATGCCCCATGGTACAGTAAGGAAGTATTTACAGCCAAAAGGAGACGACGACGGGCAGAGCGTCAGTGGCGCAACTCACGACTGGAGGTTCATAGGCAGATATTTCGCGCTAGCAGAAATCAAACTACCTCTGTAATTGCTAAAGCTAACCGGGGTTATTGCTTGCAGGAGATAGAGAACTGTGCAGGCAAACCAGCTCGTCTTTATAAGTTTATCAGGCAGCTGCTTGAACATCCACCGAATGATGAAGTTGAACAGTACAACAAAAATATGGCAGATTCAATAAATGAATTCTTCGTCAATAAGATTGACAAAATTCGTGAAGGACTGTCAGAATGACATGGAACAATCGCCTCCTGTCGAAATTCCACATTTCACAGGTGAGAGAGTCGATAGGTTTGATCTTTTTTCTGAGGATGAGATCAGAGCTATTGTGACCAAATCAAAACCAACATCCTGCCCCTGTGATCCAGTTCCCACCAAGTTCCTTCTAGAAAATATTGATCTGTTTTTTCCAACTGTAACAGCCATTGTAAACAAAAGCCTCGAAAGCGGATATTTTCCTCAGGAATTCAAGAACTCTTTTGTTAAGCCTTTACTGGGGAAACCTAATTTGGAAAGTAGTGATTTCAAGAATTTCCGCCCGGTATCGAATCACTCTTTTCTTTCAAAAGATGTGGAAGGGCTCTCAGTATCAGGCTGAAGGAAAAACTTGGACAATCATAACCTATTGGACAAGCATCAGTCTGCATACCGACAATGTCATAGTACTGAAACAGCTTTAGTACAAGTTAGTGATGAGTTGAGACGGAATGTAGATGGAGGTGACATAGCAGCATTGGTCCTTTTAGACCTCTCCTCAGCATTTGATACCATAGACCATAGTATCCTTCTAAATCTGCTGAAAACCCAGTACGGAATTGATGGCATAGTACTAAACTGGATAAGCTCCCATCTCTGTGACAGACGGCAGGGTGTAATGATAGGGAAAGACAGATCTGACAGCATTACTCTCAAACATGGAGTACCACAGAGATCTGTTTTTGGGCCCGTTGCTGTTCCTGCTGTATACTGGTCATGTTGCCAACATCACATCTGTCCACAACATGTCGCATCACTCTTACGCAGATGACATCCAACTCCTCATGAAAATACCACTGCAAAATCTAAATCAGTCACTTCAAGAACTCACAAACTGCACAAGGGAAATCAAGTCCTGGATGACAACTCATATGCTTAACCTCAATGACACGAAGACTGAGGCACTTCTGGTAGGAACAAGTCACCAAATTTCAAGATGTCCCATTAAGAACCTAACCATCGCCGGTGCAGTTGTTCCTATAAGCACATCTGTCAAAGATCTAGGCATATACTTTGATACATCACTGTCAATGGAAACACAGGTGAACAATATCTGTAAGACTTGCTATTTCCATCTTCGCTCCATCAGTAACATCCGTCAATATCTTACAGCTGAAGCCACCTATGCCTTAGTCCGGGCGCTTGTGATTTCAAGGCTCGACTACTGCAACAGCTTGTTGTTTGGGATCAGTCAGAGGCTATTGGATAAGTTACAGAAGGTGCAGAACACGGCCGCACGTATTATCAGTCGGATTCCCAAACATGGCCACATCACACCTGTTCTTAAACAGTTGCACTGGCTCCCCATGAAGGCAAGAAGCGACTACAAAATCCTCTGCTTGACCTACATGGCCCGTCACGGACTTGCTCCCCCATATCTCTCTGACCTGCTTACTCCTTACTCAAACAAACGCTGCCTTCGATCATCCAATCAAGAGCTTCTGTTTGTGCCAAACTTCAGGCTTAAAACTTTTGGAAACCGGACTTTTGTCATATGCAGCCCCAACCTTGTGGAATTCACTCCCATACAAGAATATATATAAAAGCTGGATGTCCTTGTCACATCGTTAAATGGGTAACGCAATGTGTCTGAATTATACTTGTTTTCATTGTGCTGCTAGTACTGTCAATTTAAAGCCGCCAATGTGACGTCATGGCAACGCCGCGTCACAACATTTGTATACAGTTGCATTGTGACGTCATGACAAAGTGACGTCATAACATAATCCGTTTAACTGTAATCACTTCTCCCTGAAGATAAAAGTGAAACATGTTGGAGAAGATCCGTGTCGTGTGATTATTTCAGAATCTTCTTATATATGTACTACTGTACGCTCGGTATTCTCATCACTTTCTTTATATATATATATATATGAAAGGTACAAGGTATAAATTGTAAAGCGGCACCACTGACGGCGAACAAAAGTCGAAACTTTCCAGTTAATCAATTCAAGCAATGCAGGTGCGTTATGTAACCTAAATCATATATATATATATATATATATATATAAAGAAAGTGATGAGAATACCGAGCGTACAGTAGTACATATATAAGAAAAAGTTTCTGAAATAATCACACGACACGGATCTTCTCCAACATGTTTCACTTTATATATATATATATGAACGGTATAAGGTATAAATTGTAAAGCGGCACCACTGACGGCGAACAAAAGTCGAAACTTTCCAGTTAATCAATTCATGCAATGCAGGTGCGCTATGTAACCTAAATCTCAGGATTAGATATCAGATTTTAATTAACATTTCTTAAGAACATTACAACATTACTTGCTTACCTTTAATATTCAATGATCACAGACATTGAGATATTAATATTATGTTACGTTAACCAAAGAAACGCATATATATATATATATATATATATATATATATACTAGGCACATAAAGAAACTGTGCATACAAACATTTAAAATTTAATTTATCAAATCTGTGTAGACACATAAGGATTTAAACTCAGCGATTAGTGACATGTATCCAACATGCATGCACGTGCCACGTTCCGTGACGTCAGTGGGTTCGTCCTTGAGACGTGCAATACGTTGTTGCACGTGCATTCCGGGAAAGAGAAACAGAGCAAATGAATGCCAGACAATACTGTCACTTTGGAAAGCTCAACCCCTGCCCTTGCGATCGTTCAAAAAATTAAACGGCTATTGAAACGCATAGCATTCCAAGGCTCACGTCTGCACAACGTCATGACGACAAGTCTCAACGACAAGTGGCTGCACCTTTCCACTGCCACCGGAACAACATTTCTGCACTGGTGAGACGCTACCAGAACACAAAAGATGTCATCGATCGGCCACGTTCTGGACGTCCACGTGTAACAACGCCAAGACAGGACAGATGGATAAGGGTGACCCATCTTCGCCACAAGTTTCAGACTGCAGTGATGACTGCCCGAACCATCCCAGGACTTCGCCGTATCCACCCCAACACAGTTCGACAACGTTTACGTCATCACGGGATCAGACCACGACGTCCCGCCATACGGCCTATCCTGACACAACGTCATCGACAAGCTCGCCTAATGTGGTGCCGAAATCATGTCCGCAGACCCTTGTTTTGGTGGAGAAATGTTGTTTTTACAGATGAGTCCAGGTTTAACATTTCCCATAGTGATGGACGTCAACGTGCCTATAGATGCGTGGGAGAACTTTATGCACAGGTCTGTGTCTTGGAGAGGAATCGCTTTGGTGGTGGTTCCGTAATGATTTGGGGTGCAATAACAGCACGCCAAAGAACTCCTTTGGTGATTGTTCAGGGCAACTTAACTGGTGTGGGCTACAGGGATCAGATTCTTCGACCTGTGGCAATTCCCTTTCTGCAACGTCATGGCCCTGGGTTAACATTCCAACAGGACAATGCCCGCCCTCATACGGCAAGGGTTGCTATGGATTTCTTGCAACACCACAACGTTGACTTACTGTCTTGGCCTGCAAATTCACCGGATCTCTCCCCGATAGAGCATGTTTGGGACGAGATTGATCGACGTCTACGCCGTCTTCCTCATCCGCCAGATAACGTCCTTGACCTTGCAACAGAACTTGAGAGAATCTGGCGTGACATCCCACAAGCCTTCCTTGCACGTTTGATAAGCTCCATGCGTCGTCGATGCACTGCTGTTCTCAATGCCGATGGTGGACATACCCGTTATTGAGCTTGGTCATTATTGTGCATGCAACTTTGTTCAAAAGTACGGACATTTTAAGGGCCACCAACATGCTTTGAATTCATATTCATTCCAAGTCGATGTTTCGTATATAATACAGATGTTGCCAACCACATAATGTTGTGCATACAACGTCGCCGCTCGGAAGCTTCACCTTGGTCACAGGTAATATTTTCAGACGGAATCAAGTGCATCTACCACTTCCTTCCTCATCTGTACGTCAGTGTCCGCCAGAAGGACGATGGTGGCTGCGTATGGTATGGGATGCATCTTCCTCAGTGTGTGACAAGTCAACTACTACCATGACAACACACTGGCATGCCATTCCAAGTCAATGACATCTTTCGAAATGATGGTTGATTTACCCATCGCTAATGGACTTACAAATTTGCATTTAGCAATACACCATTGGTGACTTGAAGAACACATTAAACAGTGGACCACTCCAGGACATAAACCCGTGGTAGCAATGTGTTAATTCATCATTTGTAATACCCACTTATGACCAGCAATAATTCCTTAATATTGTACCAGTAATCTATTTGTGACGTCACGTCGAAGAGACGAGTTCGATTCCATATAATACAACCAGTTGCAGGATGAATGTATATTTCACAATGGCAATATCAAAGCTCTGTCTTAGCACCGAGCAATCGTGGAGACCTACTTCAAACCTACTACAACAATTACACAATATGTTGGTTTCAAATCTGCATCATGATAACATTCAGTGAGTTGGGTTTAACGCCGCTTTGATCATGACCATAGTTAGCCACAAGACGACAACTTCCATCAATACTTATTTTCTTGAAGCAAGTGCAATGTGTAACAACACGCCAACGTTTCAAGCCGGGTAATGGACATACCAAGAGTTGATCAAAATTCAATTTTGCAAATTGAAGAAATATATCCACAGACTCAAATTTGTATTTAATAGCATATCCACAGGATTATATTTCTATTCATCTATTCATTTATTTATGCTGTATCAGGATTGATCTTAGTGGCATTTCAAGCTGCCACTTCTTGAATAAACTGATTCTCTAACGACTCTGCTTATTAAGAATATTTCAGCTGACGTTCATTTTCCGAAAGCCTATTCTCACTTCTTGATGTTATATGTTATGTGACACCTTTTCAAAAAAGATTTCTCTAAATTTTGTAGGTTCTCTCAACTGCTTTGTTCGCATAGTACACTTTTAATCTTGGATGATATGAGATTTCATGATTTGCTGTATTTGGTGATAGAACATTATATCGATCCAACATCAAGCAGTGTTTTCTT